CTGTCAATTCAAAAGAATTCCCCAAGTTAAAAGATTATTTAAAAAAAAAACCCTCTAGATTATTGTTTACTTACTATGTTTTGGTGATGTAAGTGTAGATATCAAAGGTGATGACATGTTTTGTTTGTTTTGTTTGGGTGCTTAGTTTTCTTTCTATCCTCCCCCCCTTTATCTTTTCTTTTCTCCCCTCCCCTTCCCTCCCCTCCACCCTCCCCTCCCCTCCCCTCCCCTCCCCTCCCCTCCCCTCCTTTTTTGACCTGGAACTCACTATGTAGACCAGGCTGGCCTAGATCTCAGAGATCTGCGTCTCTCTGCCTCCTGAGTGCTGGATTAAAGGCATGCATCACTCCCAACCCAATCTTTAAGACTTATTTTATTTATGTGTCTGTGGGTGCCAGTGGAGGCCAGAGAGGGTGTTGGAGCTTGTGTTTTTGAGCCACCCAGTGTGCACTGGGTCCTTTTTGCTAAGAACGGTAGGTAAGCCCTCTTAACTGCTGAGCCGTTTCACCAGCCTACTATCTCAATCTCTTTTTAAAAAAATTTAAAATTTTATTATTTGTGTGTGTGTAGGCATGTGGGTGTATGCATGTGGAAGAGGACTACTTTTGAGAGTCGATTGTCCTCTGTTCTCTGTGGGATTTGGAGATTGAACTCAGATTTTCAAGCTTGCATAGCAAGCTCCTTTACCCACTGGGTCATTTTGCCAACATCCTCCCCACCCAATTTAAAGTTTTATATAGTCCAGTTTGTCTTTTGTTTATTTTCTTGCTTATTTGTGACAGCTCTCACTGTGTGGTGTTCTGGCTGGTCTCAAATTCACCTGGTAGTCTAAGTGGGCTTGAATTCAACTGCTGTCCTCCTGTGTCAACCTGCCAGAGTTCTGGGGTTACAGGTGTGAGCCACCAAACCCAAACAATTTGTCTATTTTTGATGCTGTTGCCTGTGACTGGTGTCCCATCCAAGGAATCTTTGCTAAAGCCAATGTTGTGAAGTCTTGTTTCTATGAGTTTTATAGTGTTAGGTCTTAGGTGCAAGTCTTTGGTTCATTTTGAGTTCATTCAGCTTCATTCTTTGCATGTGGATATCCAGTTTTCTAGCACTGTTT